TGAAATAAATTTGTTTTAATTATTAGTTAGTTAGTTAGTCAGTGAGTTGACTAGCTAGTCAGTTATTAAACGAATCGGTACAATACATTTATGTGTTTGTGCCATAACTATGAAGGGAAACTTAACAAGCAAATGATGGTTTAGTTTTATTTTTAAGTTAGGCACATCATCATTTGTAGAACTTGTTGAAGAAATAAAAACTTTAATTTTCATTAAATAAACTTAACTTTGCATAATTCTTACAGAATAATTGTGAAATTTTACAGAAATGAATTTAAGGAATTGTTAAGCAATTTTATATTTGACATGATATTCTGAATATTTTATGTAGCTCTTTAAACAATGTGTAGATAAAACACAAGTGAAATGAAAATTAAAAACTACAACTGAGCTCTAACATGGAGTGATTTTCTTGCATAAGATATTTGAAATAATGTTGCATTTACCACTTAAGTTATTTATAGGTTCAGAAAATACTGTTTTTTAATTGATATTAAATGTATATTACATTACTAATTAATATTATGACAACAACCACAGAATGGTAGCATATAAAATAACTTTTAACCATTATCTCCCATAAGCTCCTGTTACCAAACTAACAGAGTTTGTTCAAAATTAACAGTGAACTCAAAGATTCAGGTACAAAGGATAGAAATATTACTTTAGAAATACTCTATAAGATAATATTTTATGTTGCTACAGAACCAAAAATTTCAAAATGAAGTAAACTTACAGCATCCTTAATATCATTCCACAAGTTCTTGTTTTGGATGTTACTCAATGAATTAGAATGTTGTTTTAAAGAACCTGATGCTCTAGTACCAATATTATACTTGTCCAAGAATTTCAGAGATACCTTATAAGCTTTAGCTGTAAAAAGAAAAATCAACTGAAGTTTACAAAACAAAAAGAAAATATAATTTAAATAAAAAATTTACATGACTACAGAATTATACAACAAGTAAAGAGTTCATGTTAACTGATACTGAAGCAAACACATGTAGAGAAGTAAAAATATAACTAGTTTCTGTATTGTACATTTTAATATGAGATTTTGTTTAAAAATGCAAAACAATTCAATTTAAACAGTTATAGCACTTTTCATACACATGTGTATGTGCAACTAATAACATTTCACATATGTTTGTGATCAATTAATAAATTTGTGTGTGTGTATATATGTGTGTACGTATGTATATATATATATATACACACACACACACAAGAAAAATTCAAAACTATTTTAAAAAAAACCTTCACACTTTCCGATCATAATCCAAAACCATAACGGAGATTGCCTGTAGTAATACCATTCAAAAGCGTTGCGAATATCCCATCTATCAGATAAAATCCAAAAAGGAGATGAGAAACTAGTTAGCAGTGATGGAAAATTCAATAAGGGTACAGAATTGAAGTGTTTACTTTAAGGATTTTTAGAACTTTTAAGGGCAGAGGATGATAGGTATTATTTGGTAGAAATATTTTTTGGTGGCTTGATTTTATCCTATTTCTACTTTTGAATTTAAATTACATCTCTGTAAGGGTTACTGCCTTCCCATAACTGGCTGCAGACAGTGAAAGGCAATAACAGTTGAGATGTTATGGGTGTAAGCACTGAACTTTGTACTCTTATTGAATTTTACACCACTGCTAACTGGTTTCTCATCTGCTTTTTGGATTTTGTCTGATAGATGGGATATCACCAACACTTTTGGTGCTATTACCACAGGCAATCTCCGTTATGACTTTTGGATTATAACTGGAAGGTGCAAAGGTTGTTTTAAAAATAGAGTTTTGAATTTTTCTTATATTAAGTTCATTATTGTTTTATAGTGCTGATTTTGATCCCCTATTGACAATTAATGTAATTGATATAATAGTTCTGGAGGTATTCCTTTTATATATTTAAATTTCAACAAGCATTTATTTAACTAAGATATACTAATAACCAAGTTTCCTTAAATTAATTATGTGGAAATCAAAAAATAACCCTAGTGTACTATTATTAAATTTTTACAAAGTTTTACATGATATATAATCAAATACACTAATGTCATATTCATTTATACTTATAACAAAAACTACACATTTTCAAATATACCTAACAATACACACATTAGATATACTTTACCACAAGCTGGAAATATATACATATCATTCATATTTCAAGCTAAATTATGAATGAATTCCTACACATGCACTTTAAATACATGTAGCTCTCCATCTGGCTGTAATCATATTAACCCTCTCAATATGGGTAGCTAAAAGTACACATCACAACTTTTAACAGTTGTATTCAAAATTTAATTTAAATTACTTTATTATCAATGTATTTCAATAAACTTGGCATCACAATGTAGTTAACAAGTTAATTTCAGTATTACATAAGTTTTACTTTCTTAATTTTAAAAGGAAATATTTAAATAAATTCTCAATTTTAACTTCCACATTACATGACAATTGTTTGCTACTACTTGCCCATTTTTCTCTTTTATTATCATCCCCGTATGATATCCTAATTTTAACATAAATGACAATTTTATAGTATAGATACTACTAAGGCAAATTCTAATTGTATAGCCTCCAACTTTCTTACTTAATAAAGATATAAACCAGAAAGTAAAACCCACTTGCTATACTCTTCTATTACACCTTTCTTATTACAACTTTCTTACTTAATAAAGATATAAACCAGAAAGTAAAACCCACTTGCTATACTCTTCTATTACACCTTGTCATTCACAATATATCAATAATTATCTCCAATATTTGAACTTAGATTATTTATAATCAAGAGAAAGAAATTTGATGATGAGGAACCCACTTTTTTTAAAAATAATGTCTCGAGATGGTTTAAATAGTTAATAAAAGAAATTTTATTATAAATACACATAATTTTGACAAGATTATGTCATAATCTTGTTGAAACATTGAAATTTATAATAAAGTTTCTTTCATTACCCATTCAAGTCATCTCCAAATACAGAAAGAAAATTTTATGATAAGGCTAATTCATTTTGACAACAGGGTTTGAAATAGTCAGCCTTCAGATTCACTGCTATTGCAGAATTCTCATTAACCAGGTAAGGAAATTATTTCAGGGCAGTTATACCTCAGTTAGAAAGCTGTTTAAATTATAATACTTATGAAACATTGTATGCTTTGTGCATTTTATCATTTTGTGGACTTAATTGCATATATGAAATGATTAAAAACCATTTTATGTACTACTGTACCCCCCCCCCCCCTTCATCTTTCACGTTATCAAGAGATGTTTTTTTAGATACATGTAATTAAATTTTTTTTTCTGGTCAGCTTCAAAGAAAAAGAAATTGTGAATGTAGTTTTGGCATTTTCAGAAAGATTCAGTTCCCATTTAAAAGCATGAATATCTGCTTGTGAAGTATCATCTGTTTTCAACATCTCAACTGCTACTTCTGATGATAATGTATATATATGTGTATCACCTTTAGTTATCTATGATGACATTTTTTATTTCAATTTATTATAAAGCCATTTATTGTTTTCATATTATTCTAAGCCTAATCACCACAAAGCAGATATTCAATCATTTTTCTCCTGTTCAACAGCTAATTTATTGTTTATCTTCAACTTCACTCTATCTCGATTATTTTATTCCACCTACAACAAATTCTTATAGCCATTCTTCTGCATACTGGGTTGATGTATCCCTAGTTCATGAGAAGATAATCAAATGGGTTATAACTATGTGTTAGATTGATTGTCAGACTAGTACATTATTATGATAGAAAATTTTTTATTAGTACTTATTGGTTAAATAAAAACTTTTTGAAATTAAAATGCATACTAATTTATTAATTAGTCATACACATAGTGGAAGTGTATTTAACAAATTGGTACACACACACATCTATATTATTTATCCATAAAACAGAAGTTACATCTTCAAAAAATTTCAATCAAACTGAATAACAAGTGCAATATATACAAATAGACAAGAACTTTCTTTACATGAAAAAAAAAGTAACTGATCTACAACAAACTACAATACTCTTTTTGGATTTTATCTATTGGATGATAGTACCACAATTTTAGATAAACTATAAGAAAGTTGCTTTTCTTTTATGAATCCTGAAATAATGGCAGAACCAGACAAGAAAGTGAACTGAACCTTATATATTATAACTATCCAAATATTAGTTATAAGGAGAAATAAAGTTCAGAATCAATCACAAAAAGATACAAGAGAAATTCTTTAGTGAAACTATTAAAATGTGAATGAAGAGAAAATTGTTGATTCTAAATGCCACTGATAAACTGTAAGTAAAGCACAATCTCTACACTTCTTAAATTTTCTTGATCATGATAGTTGATCTATAAAATTAATGTCATATGCTATGTTATTTGAGAATGATATCTAGCTGCTCATTTGCTGTTGCAAGTTACCAATATTAACTATGGTATGGAGTATATCCAAATGTGAACTTAAATCAATCTTACTTGTTCTTATTCGGTGGGAAAACATAACATAACATGTTTATGTTTAACATAAACATTTCATCAAAGCTGTATCGATGTGTTACAAAACATTTCTATTACAAATTAATCTCATTTTTTTAAAAACATTATGATATTCTGAAT